AATAATAATAAAAAGCTCCCGTCACCTAGACATGTCATCTGTTAATGTCTGGGCGGTGGTGCACAAAAGGGTGGCTGGGTTGAATGTGAATGTCCAGGGCCAAGTGTACAGGCACTTTGACATTCCCCATGTAGTGATTCTCCTGCACACAGGGTCCACCAGTCCCCAGCAGGTGATGGGACTAAGCGGCAGGTGTAGTGGTCGGCAGGTAAAGACAACGGTCTGAGACACCAAGGTGGACTTGCATTTTAGAGCTCCAGGGAAGCTACTGAAATGAGGTGGCTCCTTTCAGAAACATCCATCAACCCTCTGCAACCCCAAGCTCAAGGGAAGAGGAAATTGAACACCAGGCTGTTTTCAGACAATGAAGATACACACACATATATATATCCATGCCCGTCTTAACTTTTACTTTGTACTCTGTAAAGCAGGCATGTGGGATGACTTAGAATGGTTTTAAATCTACCATAAGGAAAACAGTACATACACACAAGGGGGAAAAAAATGTTTCCATCAATATAAAAAGGGAAGCTCCACTACAACTTGTGGAGAAATCACTATGCAGTTCGTGTGCATTCAGAAAATTTTCTTTATAAATATATATATATATATATACACACACACACACACATACACACACATGGATTTCTTCTTTATTCCATTAAAACAAAAAAACTAAGGCTGAAACGTATTCTCTCTCTCTCTCTGTGTGTGTGTATATACCATCAAATAGAATCTGACTGGTACAGAAAGAGATTACCCCTCCTTCTCCAGGAGAGCATCTGGTGGATTTGAACCACGTACCTCTGGGATTGCAGTGGCGCTTCTTGCCACTGGACCACCAGAGCTCACTGACATATTCTTTTTAATCTACTAAGAGGTTCTGGTTTCATAAAGGGTTATCGCCTTAGACTCCATAAGGGGCAGTTCTGCTTTGTCCTATACGGACACTATGGGCCAGAATTATCTTGATGGCAGCAAGCTTGGTTGGTTTATAGGCTGAAAGTCAAGTCTTGCTATCAATAACAATTTAAAATCGAATCTCCATTCAACCTAGTCTGCTTACTATTTTTTCATTTACTTCTAAGCTGAAAATGGTAGGGGGGAAAAGACAAATATGGAAAACAAAAATTCTAAGTTTAAAAAACAAAATCAAGACTTTCGAATCTTGCTAACGATGTAGAGAATCAGTGTGTCTAGCAAGCGGTATATTTAAACAAATAATCAAAATACAACTTGGTACAACAGGCATTATCTATTTAATAAGTACAATATATACAAAGATTTCTCTTGAAAAGCTTAATTTTATACAGAAATTTATTTACAAAATGAACAGTGTATTCAAACTAACGATGATCTGCACAATCCATATATATATATATAAATGAACTTTGGAAGATAAACAACTGTCATCACCAGCATCAAAATAATCATATGCATCTTTTAAAAAATAATTTCATTCCAGAAGGAAAATACATCTTAACAAACTGTGTTTCTCTTTGTCATTTTCCTGACAATTCTTCATATTTGGGTTCATTTTTCAATTCTTTTTCTTGTTCAGCCTTGGCAAATTTCAGATTTCTAGTGCCACCAACTGGTACAAAAATTAACAATCATAGTGTCAAAAAAGGATTGTTTTAGTTTTTAAAAAAAGTTAGTGGAAAAGCATCAACAATCATTAGGCAAACAATCAGACAGACTGAATCATAACATGATTTATGTAAAAATATTACCAGGGTGGCATATACAATATTTGTAATATCAGTAGTTTCTGATCTTTTTACTTCTACTGATAAATCTTCATCTAATTTTACATGTAAAAATTTTTAGAAAATCATATGCTTCAGAACAAACATGATTTCAGAAACATATACTTATACAACAATACGATTAAATTCATCTAGTACTATTTTATGGACTTTGGATTTTTTTTTCCCTTTTTCTCAGAGTTAATTAAACATCAAATTGACAAATATGAAGAAATGTGTAGAACACAGTGAAAAGAGCAGCTCAGCTCCCTCGCCAAGGAGCCATGTCCTGGGGCCATCATGCCAGAGTGGGGACCTGGGCTGCTGACTTCACAAGTAAGTTAACCCTCTTTCCAGCCTAGTTATAAGAAGGCTGGCTATCAACTGTGGAGGTCCAAGACCTGATCCTATTGTTACCTTCCAACTAGTCTCATTAGACCTTGAAAGCAAGAACTCCCATTTGATCTGTCTACCAAAATAATGATAGTACCCAGTATGGTGGCTGACAATAGCACATGTTCAATAAATGAATAAATAACATGTTGGAAGCCTGAAAAACTTTAATTTCAAGCCTGTTTGGATTGGAAAGACAGAGGCACATTTTGTAAACTATTTCATGGATTTTTTTCATTGGTTAAGAGCTGAAAATGAGAGACATGTTGGTCTAAAAGATATTAACAGTATCATTCAGCTTTGAATATGTATTTAGAATATTCAAAGCTAAATGATCCTGTGAATGAACTGATATACTAAAGAACATATAAATAGGGATTAGAAAATTAGACTGTCGTAACTTGCTTTAAATGGTTATAAAGACAAAAAGTTCAAGGGGAAAAAAATATTCAAATTTATTCCAAACTCACCATTTCAAATCTTTAAACCTAACAGGCTTAAAGTTTGATATGGTATAGAGAAAAAAGGAGTCACAGTATACGTGTTCACTGTAGAATTAAAACCTAGTGAAGTGTATATATACATATATACACACTCATACCCCAAAACCTAAATCATCTTAGGCCCAAAGAAACCATAATAGTGCTATCTAACTGAAAGTCTTTGATGTGTACAATGAAGAAAACAGTGAACATGTAAAATAAATACCCCCACGTCTCTGGCTTATTGAGACCATTCTCACGCATTCCATTCATTTCTCCCTATACTCAGTATAGAAGGAGGCAGAAGGCCCTCTAATTCCTTATGTCAGGAGCTGCTTGTAAAGCAGGGTTAAGTGTTGCCAATACTTTGATGTTCCTTCCTGTACATTATTTTGCTCAGTTCTAACTGATCCATACAAAACAATACAGTGAGAAAGAAGAATAAAACAAAAGTAAAATATTTTCTTGAAAAGCTTTCCACAGTTTAACATTTCTGAGAGTAAAGGAGCAATATACTAATATGGTTTAAAATGGTTTTGTTCTAAAATTGTATTGCCTTCTCCAAGTTGATGGTGGCACAAATATTAATACTGGATTTTTTTTTAGTTTATCCTGCATATATTTTTTAAGACAAAAGATATGATGGATCTGAGTACTATTTGTTGTCCATCATATGTGTGTCTTAGAGAAAATATAAATATTATCATTTTTTAGTCTGTATCACATGAGAAGCCAGAAAAAACTTAAGTAACACTGGCTGCTCTAAGTGGTCTTTAGGAGTGTCAATGGTTTACCTAGAAAACAAATGGGAAAATAATTGGGATTTGATGGCATTCACTTTTCCTTTATTTTGATCAATTATTATTATTATTATTGGCTCAAAATAAAGCAAGACAGACTCCGGTAACAGTAATACTTTTTAGCCATTTAAAAATGAAAATGTCTTTGAATTTTAATTTGCATTCTGACATGAAAAAACTTTTTCTTTCAGATGATAATATTGTTGGTATCCTTAGTAACTATATGTTAATACAATGTTGATTTAAAAAATTACAAATATACATAAAGGGGCATTGCCATCATTAGCCCAACTTTAATCGTACATACCAGTTTTTTAATCAGTCAGGCCAAAGCTTACTTTTCCAACAGGGAGGAGGAAAAAAAAAGTGAAAAAAAAAAATCCAAAACAGAAGCGTGGACTAGGACAGCATGTCTACTGGCCAACGTATCCTATTATAAAAATGAGATGAATACAATAAAATGTGAACAATCACATGTAGAAAACTATAGCATCTAAAGCAATTACAGGAAGTGGAAAAAAAATTCAGTGACACACATGATATGATGCCTGGAACCATTTAACCATGTACCTTAAATAAACACTGTGAAAATCCAGTGGGATCCATAAACTTGCTCTAAAATTCCTTTGGTTACAGAGATGGAAGTATTTTGTGTTTCAAATAAAAATACCAGAGCATGTCACATTTCAGAAATCATATGATAATTATACCCTAATATATGATTATATCAAGAGTAAAGAATGGTATTCAGATGAAATGGTTTATAGTTTCATATGCTGGTTTCGTTTGGGAACTGGCTCTTGTAAATATTTTCAAATACAATTATATTTATTTTGATATATTTTATGTCAATAAAATCAAGTGATTTCTGTTTCATCTCTGTTCAAAAGACTAGCTCTATTTCACATTAGGAAATATGAATACCACAGGAATTTTCTAAATGAATATGCAACTTAAATCTTTTACGGAATTTAAAGGTTTAAAAATTCAACTAATAACTAAGTAATTCAAGTTGGGGAAAAAAGAATGTGCCTGGTTAACTCCAAGGCCTGGCAAAGACTCAGGAATGCCTGGTCAGCACTCAGCACTTCACCTTCCTATCAAGTTTCACCTCAGTTAAAAAATGAAGCAAAAAGATGAGTAACCAGTAGGATTCCTGAAATACAGCAAATGTTACAAATGGAATTTCAAAAGATTAGCATTTGTATTGTTTCTTTAGTTGTCTCGATTTTGGAGAAATAGCATATTGCTGAATGATTTTAACATCTGCATTTTCATGCATAATTTTAAAAATCAGAATACTTTTTATTTTACATATTTTAAAGAGGAGGAGTTTTGTCAAGCCCTTTCCTAGCACTTCATAAGGCGACTAGCAAATTCAAGTGTTTTGCTTTAGTAACAGGTTCATGTAATTGTACCAACCAAAAAAAAAAACCCCAATTTCATCAAAGCATACACTCTTATGGTTTACACAGCAAAGCAATCATATCAGGAAAAGATACTTTTTTGTACAGAAGCAAAGCAAAGTTTTTTTAGTGGCTGGCATCCAAAGCAGCACGGTCTCTGACAACACTGGTCAGTGGCACCTGCTCCCCGTGTGACCTGCTCACTGACAAGGGCTCCGTGCTAGGTTCTCCTGGGCCTCTGTTCCAGTTCATGCTGGTGTTTAATAAGACGTTCTATTTCTGTTCCAAGCGTCTGGAGGTTTTCCTTTGAAAAGTGGAAAGAAAGAGGAAGAGAAAACAGAACTTCTAAGTAAAAGAAATAGAAGAGTTTCAGTTAGAACTATTTTCACCTACTAAATTGGAACTGGAAGAGTTATGATCAATTCTAAATGCTCCATGTGGACCCAGCTGGACCAAGTCCAGGGCAGCAGTGCTGCCGTCTTGAAAGCACACTTGTTGTTTTGGGTTCTTTTATTTTTAACTGAAACCACAGAAAATTTTAGTAAAGAAAATTATTATTTACTGAAGTTTTAAATTATTTTTATAATTCATCACTATCAAGACCCACACAGCAAAATCAATTATTGGGTCAGACAATAACTATAAAAAGTTCAATGAAGCTGGGAAATATGTTAGAAAGCAATTCATTTCAAATAGTTAAATGTCAGAATTCTTCCATTGCTATCTTCAGGTTCTTTCTGAAATAAACTTTAAAAAAGGAAAGAACTCATTTTAGCTAAACTGATTTTTCTCGCTTCCTCATCTTTCCTCACTAGTATGAAAAATTAGACTTTTCAAAACAAGAAAAACACTTAATGTTTATCTGATTAAAAATGGCTAGCTTACGGTGACAGAAACCACACAGGCTGGACAGTCCTGTGAAGGGGAGGCCAAGCTGTGATGTGTATCAGTTGCTAAGTGAATGGGAAATACAAATACCTTCAGAGTAATATTTTTTAGTAATGTATCCTCCAAAACAGCCTGTAATTTCTGGTTGATCTCCAGAGAAAGTTCTAGTGTTAACCCGCTGTCGGCCGGATGAGATGTATATAGAGATGCCATGATACCGCCCCGTCGACTCAAATGGACTTTGTTGAAGTCAGAAGCCTCTGAAGAGAGAGTGCCTGATTCCTCCCGTAAAATATAACTCTGGATTATTCTGTAAAACAAAATAGTAATATCAATTGTGTACCTGCTGAAGCAAAGACACGGGAATATGCCAGCATCAATGAAGTATAAATATAAAAATCTCTTGGCTCCACAGTCAACAGTCTTGGCACCAGCAGCCAGGAAATTAAAAGGCGCATTGCCATGGGAAAGTCTACGATTAGGAACCTCTCCAAAGTACTGAAGAGCAATGGTGTCTCTCTGAAGACTAAGGTGCGTCTGATACAGGCCATGGTCTTCGCAATCACTTGTTATGCATCAGAGAGTTGGACAATGACCAGGGAGGATAGAAGGAGAATTGATGCCTTTGAGCTGTGGTGCTGGAGAAGAGTATTGAGGGTACCATGGACTGCTAGGAAAACAAACAGATTTGTCCTGGAGAGGGTCAAACCGGGTGGCTCCTTGGAGGCAAGGATTCTGAGGCTCCGTCTAATATACTTTGGACATGTTGTGAGGAGAGACCGGTCCTTGGAGAAGGACATCATGCTTGGCAGGGTGGAGGGACAGCACAGGAGGGGAAGGCCCTCTATGAGGTGGATTGATTCAGTGACTGGGGTAATTGGGATGGGAGTGTCAGAGACAGTGCGACTGGCACAGGACAGAGCAGAGTTTAGGGCTGTTGTACATAGGGTCGCTATGAGTCACAAACGACTCGACGGCACATAACAACAACAACATCAAGAGAAAAGAATTTTCTTCTACAGATGGCTTCCTACAGGACTCCATTTTTGCTCTAACGAGGTGGTCACATTAAACACATCTAGAGACTGTTTTATTATTTTCTTATTATTTTGATCAAAAGAATGGAGCAATTTCTTTATCGCTCAAATTTCAATTTGCATTTCCTGTTGTAAGCTTAGAATTGCATCCTACTTTTTTTTTTTAACTTGACTAAAACATTTCTGTAAGTCTAAAATTACTTCAAATAAAAATTAGGTCATGTGAGGATTGGCATTACACAGAAAACTCTTCCATCAAGAAGCACGGTGGGTGCACCCACAACTAGTCAGGTCAGGGTTTGGGGTTCCAGGTCTGCTCTGTCACTTCCAGAAGCGGGGAGCAGGTGAGGAGCCGGAAACACCGGTTACTTGACTTGAGAACCACATAACACGTCTGCAGCATTGGAGAACTCACTCTCTGATAAGTATTTGTAAGGAGACAATAAACAATCGGCATAGTGCCTTGTGTTAATAAGTGACCAATAAACTGGTCCACTGTAGTTTGAATTCTACTCAAATTCCCAATCACATACAAGTCTTAGAGCTGTAGTCATGAAAATAAAAAAAGAAAACTAAGTGAACTAGACCATTAGCTTTTTTTTAACCATTATCTTTTAAGTTCAAAATTATTTTAAACTGTAAGAAAAATTGTAAGACCTGGTTTAATTTATTTCTGGATTTCCAAAACCAAGAACCTAAGAAGCCAACCTTTTGCCGCTGCGAGCTACCCTGCACTGGGTTTTCAAGGCTGTCACTCTTTACAGAAGAAGACCACTCCTCTTTCTCCTACAAAGCAGCTGATGGATTCACACTTCTGGCCTTTTGTTCTATGCCACCAGAGCTTCCTAAAAAAGAGAATCTCTCTAATTGCTGGGGAGTCAGAAGTGTCTCACAACTGACTTTCCTGAGGCTCGAGATCCCAAGGAAAGTGACTGCCCATCTCTCCTCTTCAGAGTAACTGGTGGATTCAAACCGCCTGCCTCTGGGTTGGCAGGACAATTCAATACTCACTAGGCCACCGAAGCTCTTAAGAGTTCTTGTTGTGTACCACTGAGTCAGAACCAGCCCACCACTGACCCTCCAATGGGTTTTCAGAGGCAGTAAATTCCAAGGGAGACTGCCCATCTCTCTCCCACAGGGAAGCTGGTGGATTTGAACCAGGTACCTTTACGATGGCACCGTAATTCCTTATCACTAAGCCACCATGGGCTCCAAGAACATAATGGGCAATCAATAAAGGATTGGGAACTAAAAGATTATAGTTAAGAATTATTCTTCGACAAGTGGGCATTTCACATGACTATTAATTTAAAAAATATTAACTATGGTACAAGTATTGGTATTTTGAACAGATATACTTAACACATACTTTGTTTTCTTCCTAATTTCTTCCACCAACTGTTTTATGTGGTCCTCCATAAATTCTATCTTTTCATTTTTCCGGGCATGCGCCTTCTGTAGCCTGACAATCCTCTCGATCAGCATGGCCTTGTCTACTTCTGGAAAGTTATCCACAGTGACCGAGGACCCCGTGTTCTCCGGAGACCGGTCTTCGACACTGCTTCGAGCATTCAGAGAACCTGCAGATAATAGTAACACACCACATCAGCTTAGACATTGACTTTCTCTAGAATTATCCCTCTTCTCACAAGCATCCTTTCAGTGACGTGTTCAAATATTCACCACACTCAACACAGGTTGTACCCAATCTGAGTTTTTGTTCCTGACGGAATACACTGATTATTAAAAAAACAAACAAACAAAGAATCTTTCCGGAACAGGAAGATACCAGAATAGAGAAATAAGTAATAAGCCCAAAATTAAACCATAAGAAAAATAAGACCATTATTTTTTTTTACCTGATGAGCTGGAACGACTCCCCATGCTGCTGACTTCTTTATCATAATTTCCATTTTCAACCTGATCTAATTTTCTTCGAGCTAGAGGGAAAGGAAATTGATTACTGTGGCAATTATTATGATAAACTGGCTCCTACCATCTCTCTTAAGTTTAACTTGTACAACAATTTCGGTGAGAATGTGGTAGACAACAGGAGAAAGCTCTGGAATGCATACCAGAGGGCTATAGATGGCACTCTCATAAAATGATATTTGAAAATATCCAGGCTAAATACAAAATATATGGAAACAAGAAGACAGTGATTGGCAGTGGCCTCAGTCAGGGGTACTATAAATAACTTTTAGAGTTCAAGTTACTAGTGAGACTTGAATAATTGATAAGATCTCTACAGTTCTAGAAAACCTTTCATTTCCCCAAAATTCCTATAAGAACAAAATGAGTAATGGTAAATATCTAAACAAATGCAAGCAAGTGTTATTTTTTTTTCTCCCACCCCCCACCGCCCCAGTATGTTTCAGACTTTAATATACAATCAATCACTTGGTGACCACAGTTAAAATGCAGCATTGAGGGGAGCTCTGGTGGCCTAGTGGCAAGAAG